TATGTGTGGTATATGGTATATTCATGAATATCTAGAACTTATTTGGAAATATAAAAAATTGAAAAAAAAATTTAGGTTTTGCAAATTATATATAAATAATTTATTTCGAAATATTTGTTATCATTTCCCGTGCAAAAAGCAGTTGTTTTATAGAAAAATTATGGATTTAACTATTATAGTTGCATTGAATAAATATAAAAAAAGAAGTGAAAAATTCGACTTTTTGAAGTTTTCAATTTTTATTATTATTTTTAATAAAAATACAAAAATTTAAAAAGAAAAAATGTTTTTATCTAAAAATATTTAAATTTAAACGCAGATAAATAATTTTTTTTTAAAGCGCACATATTTTATAACTTTTATCTCATACTTTACTTGCATTCATCATATAGCAATAATGAGTATAAAGGTTTTTTTTGTTTCCTATATTCGATAGAGTTCATCGTGCCCCGGGCCAAAACTGGGCCCAAATATACGGTTTAGACCCGAAAATAAAAAAACCCGGTCCGGACCTAAAATTGATATTGCTATTTTTTTTATATAAAACTCAAGCCGGATCGCTCTAATTTATATCAATTAAATCGGTTGGGAAATGTTGGATTACAATGGAGTTAGCGTTAAAGACCTTTTACTTCGTAGATGGCAGGAACTAGAATCTTAATTTAGGCAAAATCTAGCCGTTTAAGCAATGATTAATAATTCATTTATTGCTCATATTATTCAATTTTCCTCTTTAAAACCCATTTCACAAAATATGGTGACCGAAATTAGTCTAATTAATAAACCCGGGTCGGGGCCTGGCGCAGCTATAACTCTGTAGGTCTCCTGATGTTTGTCAAACAAAATTATATGTGTATTACAAGGGTTTTGGGATAACCGGAAGAACGTGGAATCCTCTTTTAAAACTTACAAGAAGCAGGAAGCGGAAGTAAAACCCATTTCGAAATTTACAAAATCCGTCGAAAACCAGTTTCTGATAAAAGTGCAACTAATTTGCATAAGAGTTTAGAACCGGATCGCGTAAAATTTATGAACCGGAACTAAAACCCACTTTGCAAAATTTCGGAAACCGAACTAAAAAAATATATTCAGAATGAAAACCGGTCATAACACCCCGTTTTCGGTCCAGGATGCAAACTCTGGTATTAAATATTCGAAAACTGCGAACCGGTCTCATTGGTTGGTGACGTTTCGGATATTAAATAAATCATTATTTAAAATAAAAATTAGTTAATGATGATGGGTTGGCGTCAGTTGGTTAATGTTTTTTTTTAACAAATAAATATTTTTTTTAAAAAAAATTTAAATCAATAAAAATTTTAAAATATTTTAAAAATAATTATTAAATTCAAAAGAGAAATGATTGATTCTGTTCCTTATCTTTTGAAATAATTATAAAAAGCAGATAAGATAAAAATTGATAAAAATAAATATTTCTAAGATTTAAAATTAAATATCGTAGTTATTTTTTGTAATGTTTTATAATAAGGGAATTTTAGGAGTGGTTCGGTTTGAAGATCAGATGTGCTTCTTGACATCTAACCCCCCCCCCTCCCTCTTTAAGTGGTTTTTACACCGCGTCGAGGATAAGCGGGTGATCCTATCCCAGACCAAGGGGAACCTGAAGATGTTGTCACTCCTCCACCCCATGTTGAGGTAGAAAGGTAGGTTTTTAGTCTATTTCTGCTTTCTTCAAACGTTGGGGTATACATTTTTTTTTCCTTCTAAAAAACTAGGTTCAGACATTTTTTTTGTCAGGCCGTCTAAAAAACGACTGAAACGCAAACCAGAGATTCAAGCAGAACCTGAACCGAACCGTTACACCAACTTAAACCGATGAATCAAATCACCAGAACAAGAACCAAAACTCTGAAAATACCGGTTAACCGGGTTGAACCTTTTGATATTTTAGCGTTTTTTTTAAAGATGATAATTAGTAATCACCTTTCGACTCATAAGTATCATTAATTAATTTTAGATACATTTTTTTTGTATCTTTTCTTAACTATGTCGGCTACCCAAGTTAGCGAAGCATACATTCAGCCCTTAAAATTTATTCTTCCTCTCTTAATAAGATATAATTTGACAAAAGAGAATCTTCGCAAAATATTTTATTATAATTTTTTAAAAGGATTAAAAAGGTGATAAAATATTTAAATAAATGTGTTTTTCATTTTACATATGTACGCGAAAAGATTTTAATCTATTTTTTTAAAAAAAATAACACATTAACCATAAACCGTTATTTTTTTTTTATCTGTACCAAATACTCGTTACTTTTTGGATCCCCAAGGAAAACGTTTCTAAAAAAAATGGAACAATTTCCTTCCCAAACTATTAATAAGTATCAAAAAAAATTTATCTTATTGAGAGAGAGACCATGTAAGCCCGTTTCCTTAAGCCCGGCCTTCTAAAACTGGTAATACTTCAAAATATTGGACTAAATCTTTATAAGTTGTTACAATCAGTTTAACCATTTGAAAACGCGATGTTCGATTTTCCCTTTTATAAAAACCATTTTTTTTTTCCAATCATAATATTTCAAAAATGATAATATTTTGAAAACCTGATCCGGTCCGTAAATTAATCGTAATTTTAAGAATATCGAGCCGGGCCGAATAATTTGAAAAAACCGGTCTGAAGCCTTAAATTTTGAAAATTCGAGTTAAAAAAATCGGGGGAGTGGAGGAGGAGAGATTTATACCTCAACATGTATCTTTAATAAATATTGTCGCGCCACAAAATGCTTATACCTGGAAGATTTCGAAATCTATAGGAATCCATATCGCACAAAAAGTGTTTGTTTTATTTGGGTTATTTTTGGGAATCTCTGGGCATTTCCAGATTCTAACGATTTGAAGAAAAAAAATGTGAGTTGATTGGATATATTCCAGCACACGTGTTAGAGAGACATACCCATACCCGCACACTGAATTTTAGTTTTAGACATTTTTGTTCCAAGATTTGATTTTACTATCAAATCTTTTATAGAAATTTTAAAAAGGCATTCGACAGTTAGTGGCCGAAATTGTTTCAAATTCATGAGCCAGGGTAACTATATACTTACTTAGGATACATTTACTTATACCGCCTGCCTGTTTTAAATCAACGCCAATCGCTATGGATTCCATATCTGGAAATAAATGCCAATGCTCCAAAAAAAAGAAGAGTTTTCCTAAGAAAAAAAAGAAGATGAGGGGCTAATAAACGAATTCCCCCTCCAGCTTACCAATAAACCTGCTTGGGTAATTTTGCAAAATCCTGCTTCCGCCCTAACTCTACATGGAAATGAAATAAATTCATTACCTGTTCCAGGGGGACTGATGCAAATCAGTGCAGATGGGACACTTGACGCTGAATATAGTTTTGCACCAAATAATACCATATATATATATATATATATAAATAAAATAACAATAAGAATAAGAATAAACGGATTATCGAAAAAAAATTTAAAATCAAATTACCGTCAATCTTTATTTCAATAAGGGTTTTTCTATTTTAATGCTAAAGAATCTCCATAGAAATATGTCGTTAAAAAATTGTACATCAATTTGTGGATATATTATAAGTCTTTTATGGGCTTAATTTAATTTTTTTTTTATTTAAAAAAAACAAAATTTTTATTTATCGAAGTTTTTATTAATTTCATAATATTTTATTTAAAAAAAATAAAATAAAATAAAAATTTACTATTTATAATTAAATATATATTTATAATTTATAAAAATATAAAAAATTTTTAAAAAATTAACTTTTTGTTAAAAATATTTTTATATAAAAATAAATATCCAAAACATAAAAAAAATGATAATCTTTTTTTGGTTTATTTTTAAGGGGACAATATAAACTTTTATTAATTGTCAAATAACTTGTTTTAGCCTGAAATTTATAAAAAAAAATTTCAAGCTTTTCTTTAAGTGAAATTAATATTTAAAAAAATTTTTATTTTATTTTTTATTCAAATTTTCTAACTCTTGTATAAGTCATTTGAACAAGTATAATGGGGAAATAAAATTATTAAAAGTTACGTTTTTAACTTTAAAATTAAAAGAAAAAAGTTGTCTAAGATTAAAGGCTTAAATTCTTTTACATAATTTAGAGAAAAAATTTTTTTTTTTTGGTTAACCACGGCCTACAGGCCCCGACCCGTAAAAATGACAGGATTTTAAATAAAATTCGGATTTAAATTTAAGTTAAGTCAATTTAAACAAGTTAGAAACTTTCTTTCTTCTTTCTTTTCTTTTCTTTTCTTTTCTTTTCTTTTCTTTTCTTTTTCTTTTCTTTTCTTTTCTTTTCTTTTCATTGGCCGAATTATATTTTTTTTTATACAATTAATTTTTAAATCCGAGTTTATGGCCCGGTTCGATATTTTTTTTGTTTTATGATCGACCCGATCCGCCCCGATACTTTTTAATTGAAGATATAAATGAAATACAATTTTTTTTTAAAGAAAACTATAAAGTAACTTCGTTAAATCCCCCTAAGATTTAGTCAAGTTTTGATCCTACAAAAATTCTTCTTAATTTTCAAGTAGAGGCTCAACCTTTGAGTTTTTAAGCGCAAAAGGCTTGTACATTAGCCATATTTGAAATTGGCCAAAGTTAGGTGATTTAATCGCGCTATTTAGTTTAATTACAAACATAAAATCACTAAATTATTTTGTCCCCCCCCCCTAAAAAAAATTTTTTTATCAATATTATCAGATTTTTTTTAAAAAAATAGATTATTTTCTATTTTCTATTCTATTCTATTTAATTTTTTTTATTTTGAGCATAGCTAAATTCCTGGTCTACCGGAAATGAATAAAAAAAAACTCCGTGGGTCAAGAACGATTATTCATTAAAAATCTTGACTACCTTTGAAAAATAGGGGAGTGGTGGGGGGGGGGAGAAAAAAATTCAAATGCGGGCCGGCCATTAAAATTCTATCTCCGCTGTTATCTGGTTAAAATAAATGAATATCGTCAAATTTTAAAATGAAGAATAAAAGATAGTCACCTAAACTGGAGACACGAATTTGCGACAAATGGATGGACGTAAATTTTCATATTGTGGAAGCGGGGCGGAGGCGGAGCTTTATTAGGTTGTGCTTTCCCGCTTAAATCATTTTATTGGGCGATTTTTAGACTTCTTCACTTTTTTTTTTAAATATAGATATTTTTGTTCGTTATTCAAAATTATTATTTAAAAACAGAAAAATGAAATTATTGGCATAGAGATTTTTAGTCATAAGTGGCGGAAAGGATGGGATATCTATTGACCAAATTTAAAACTTATGCAGTATTGGGGCACGTTGAACGAAAGATTTAGAATGATTGAGCTAAGAGGAAATGCATTCCGTTGGAAATAATAGGACCGAGCCCTCTAGGGAGACAAACGAAGCCTTGAATGAAAGGAATAATGGGGTGACATCATGATAACAAGGCCCAAGACCGCAAAAAAGTGGAGAAAGGGAACAAGGAATGATATTGAGAAAGAAAGAAAGAAAGAAAGAAAGAAAGAAAGAAAGAAAGAAAGAAAGAAAGAAAGAAAGAAAGAAAGAAAGAAAGAAAGAAAGAAAGAAAGAAAGAAAGAAAGAAAGAAAGAAAGAAAGAAAGAAAGAAAGAAAGAAAGAAAGAAAGAAAGAAAGAAAGAAAGAAAGAAAGAACGAAAGAAAGAAAGAAAGAAAGAAAGAAAGAAAGAAAGAAAGAAAGAAAGAAAGAAAGAAAGAAAGAAAGAAAGAAAGAAAGAAAGAAAGAAAGAAAGAAAGAAAGAAAGAAAGAAAGAAAGAAAGAAAGAAAGAAAGAAAGAAAGAAAGAAAGAAAGAAAGAAAGAAAGAAAGAAAGAAAGAAAGAAAGAAAGAAAGAAAGAAAGAATGAAAGAAAGAAAATCGGCTTACCTTCGAACTATTTATTTATATAAAAGATTTGAATTTTTATTTATTTAGTGGCCTTTGATATATGCTTTATGATATGATCAATTATTAATTATACTATTTACAATTATTGTATAATCAATTAGCGTATCAGCATTTATATTATTAAATATATTTAGTTTAGAATTATTATTGATTTAAAATTTATTCCATAATTATATTTTAGTAATATTATAAAATTTGTCAGAATAATTATGATCAAATCTACTCCCCCAATCAATATCTTACAAAAATACATCATACTTTTACTTCTTCAATAAATAAAAAAATATCCATTATAATGCGCATAAATTGACCGTTTCACAAAACGCTGCGTTGTAAGCGCCAATAAGGCATTTCAAATTACCTCGCGCAAATTGGTAAAATTACCGTTATCGCGTTAGCAACCATTTTAAAAAAACGCAAATAGGTTTGCTTTCTCAATACTTTTTTTTATTATTCTTCGCTTAGTAATATTATATAAAAGATCTAATATAAAATATCTTACTTATAATCCTAAAAAAAGGAATATTTGGAAAATTAAAGAAATAAGAACGCAGACGATAATATAATTTTCAAAAGACAAATCCTTTTTTTAAGAACTTATTTAAAATGTTGCGTGGCAAACGCCAATAATGCATTTCAAATGTGCTCGAGCAAATTGGTAAAATTACCGTCATGGCGTTAGCAACCATTTTAAAAAAACGCAAATAGGTTTGCTTTCTCAATACTTTTTTTCAGAGTTGTTAAAAGATACTTTATAAATGGATCTAGATACAGATACATCGTCTAAAATAATATCTAGATATACCGATATTTTAATCAAAAATCTATCTAGATACAGATACCACATTTTTATATCTAGATACAGGATCTAGATACTTTAACAACTCTGCTTTTATAAAAATGTAATATAAATAACTTACTTATAATCCTATAAAAAGGAATATTCAGAAAATTAAAGAAATAAGAAGGCAGACGGTAATATAATTTTCCAAAGACAGATCCTTTTTATTTAGAAACTTATTTAAAATTTTGATTCGACGATATTTATTTTTTAAAAAAGCAACCTCAAATTTAAACAAGGGAGGCGGTTTTTTTAATTAAAAAATTACGATAAAACGTAAACGCTCAATTTGTGAGCACTATAATAAACCTTTCGTCTGCCCAATAAAGGAATCTGATCGGTTAATATTTTATCAATTCCATAATTACAAATCCCCCCTTTTTTTGTAATTAATAACTAATAATTAATTCCACTTTAAAAAAAATAGGAAGTTAATAATTATAATTAATTTCATTTTTTTTCAGACATGTTATTAGGAATTAGCAGTCATAATTCATAATTGCATTTATAATTCCTTTTTCTTATTTAATTACTTTTTATGAAAAAACGTTTAATATAAAAATAGATTTATATTTAGGATCATAAATGATATTCCATTATGTTAATAATTTATCAGTGTTGTTAAAAGTAAACTAGCTACATTTTTGCAAAAAATTGTAACTATAAATGTAACTAATTACTTTTTTAAAAATTTTCATTTATGTATATATACATTTTTATTATTAAATATATTAAAATAACTAATTTTATTTTTTAAGATGTTATATTATGATAAAATTAATTTTAAACTTAAACTTATTAATTTTAAATTTTGATTAAATATCTGATTCTGTATGCGGGACTTTTTTTTTGTGTATAGTTAATATTGATGAATAAATCAGACAGATACAGAATCATGACCGCCTGGATTTTTGTAGGGGGAAAGCACTATTACATGGGTTTCTACCCCATAAATTTTAATTGGTGGGTTCACCTTTGTAGGCCATTGGCTAGGTTATATTTTTATAAAAATAGTTTTTGGTTTTTCATCATATTTTTAGTGTATATTTCTTTCAAATTCTTGCTTATCATATATATATTGAATATATATTAGGGGAGAGATAAGGGGGGGGGGGTGTATGTTGGAGGAATTTTATTTTTTGAGCCTATCTCACCCTAACCCTAAATTTAAAATGCTATTTAAGAGAATAGACAATTTTTTTAAGGTGGAACTCTATTTTACAGAATTTAATATAAATTCCGACTCTGGCTAGCTATTAAATGAGAATGATATTCAAAATAATTCAAAAATGGTGACATAGAAATTGTAACATCCCTTTTCTAAAAATATTACCTAAAACAAAACAGAATTAGATGTGAAAAACACCTTAGCTAAACTTTCGATAAGTTATTTGGGATTTCACGTAGAGATAGATGACTGGGTAGTACCAGGCAATATTGGCGTTAAGTGTTTCCTATCGTGGTTATTGTTAAACGGCTCGATGTAAGGACTTTTAGATTTTAGCCAAAATAATAGCCTAAAAGATTTTGGTCGTAGATGGCAGAAAAGTTTGGACCTCTATTTGGCAAATCTCGAGGCACGTTTAGCAACACTATTCCTATGCTTTCTCAAAAAAAAGAAGATATATTTCCAGCACCTAAGTCATCCAAAGCCAAGCTACGGGAGCACATCTTCTGTAAGATTATCTTCACATAATGTGTCTTAAATAATTGTACTAATTTAAGTTAGATGTACATGTAACAAGATTTTTGTTTAGCTATAAATATTATATAGAATTATCAATTAAATTAAAAATTACTTTGACTACCTTTCCGTGGAAATGATAATTTCTTGTCATACATTATATATACTCACAAGCAAACACAAGATGCCAACGATGTCTTTTCGTATAATTATAAGAATGCGTATATATAACATTGCCAATATGAAAATGGCAGCCTTTGTATCTGAACTAATTATAAAAGAAATTAAATGATTACTTCTTATAAAACCTAATGTCATCCTCACACCGAATGCGCCCCATAAAACGTTTTCTCGCTCTGGGGAGGTCTATTTTTTGAAGAGAAACAAGAGCCCACTTTAGACAGAAATGTTTAAGATAGTTTATTATTAAAAGGCAAATAAAACTTTACTGATCCCCATTTTTTTATAAAAAATAATCGGTTCATATAGTACATGAATATTATTCTAATATTTTATTTAGGTTGTAAATATATTTTATTCTCCAGGATTTTTTGGTTCAGTGTAATTATATTTTTATATACATAAATAAATTATACATTTTCTTTTTAATTTTTAAATATACCATTGATTAAAGATTAGTGTTATTTATTTTATATTAAGTATTTAAAAAAAATGATGCGTTGAAGTAACTTGTAATTGTGACTAGTTACTTTTTATGAATGTAACTAGTAACTCTAACTAGTTAAAAAGTAACATATAACAACAATAAAATTTATATGCAAATGTCATATGATATTGTTGCACTTTATATTGAACCAGTAAAATAATATTTATAATTATATTATATATGCTATTTTAATAAAGTTTCTCCTTATTTTATCATACCCAACTTTAATTTTTAATTTTAATATAAAATAAATTGTGAATTATGTAATTATAATTTTTAGAAAAGGAATTAGTAATTATAATTAAATACAAATTTTTGTAATTGTAATTAGGAATTAATTTTAATTTTTGAGTAATTATGCCTGCCCCATCCCTGTATTATATTAAAACAATTTCAAACTGACCTTCTTCTTACGGAGGAGAATAAGAAAATGATATTATTATTAAAATTTTGTGAATCAAAAACAATTTTTTATTTTTAAATTTTTTTTATTATTTTGTCAATATTTAGGTATTCAAAACGCGTTCTGTATTACAATATCTATTGATTAATTTTTGGTTATCCATTATCAATATAATAATTACACGCTTTAAAAATAATCTAATGACACAAAAAAAAAAATGATATATTGACAAAAAATATATATATATATTTATTAAATGAATTTCATAAAGTGTCGCCAATTATTAAGATGCTGCAAGATGTGATAACGTAATTAAATTTATTATGGATTGGAAAAAAATAATAAATGAAAACTTCGAATCGGAGATTGGAACGCGGATTGAAATGGATTTCCGTTTCCGGTTTCTGAATATTTTTTAGGTGACCGCTTACGATTCTTATAATTAACCCTCTTCCGAATCCTGGGTCGGATTCAATACTCTGTAAGAAGGCCCAAAATTTGAAAGATTAGCTGGAAAACTTTTCCCCACATCTGTTTTGACTGCAGCACTGCCAAAGACAGCCAAGGAGGGTGTAGCGCAAAATCTAAATCCTTAGGGCTTAACCACTACATCTTTCTTATCTAGACGAGCCTTGAAATCTGACG